GCAAACATAGTTTGCCCAATAGCCTACTGCTCACCTTTATAATGACCTCGTGTTTGTGTGTGCCTAAGTGCACGTTTGGCACACTGCAGAGAGCAGACAGTTCCCCAGCAGCTTGTACCTTTAGGAGGAACAACAGGCTGAACAAACACCAAATGCGGCCAGTTTTTTTTACTGGCAGGCCAGGCATTTAATCCCCGTAATGTCTTATTTGTCTTGGATGTTTGCAGTACCAGGCAAGTAGAGAAATATCTTTTCCAAATATATACCTACAGTATGTATATATATGTAATTATGTAATTTCTCTGCAGCATCTAATTTAATACTTTGACAATGAAGGATACAGACATTTTATTTCAGGACAAATGTGAAATATATAAAAATTCCCCACTTGCCCCACTTTGGGGTGATCTTATTTCTTCCTTCTAGCTCGGGTCCTCTACCAGAGACCTGGGAGCTTGAGGGTCCTGTGTAGTATCTTAGCTGTTCCTAGGACTGCACTCTTCTGGACAGAGATCTCAGATGTTGTTCCTGGGATCTGTTGGAGCATTTTTGTGTGTGTGTGACATGTTTTGACAACTATTGGATGGACTGTTATTTGACATTTGGATTAGACATACATGTTTCCCTTAGAATGAATTACCAGTTTGGTGATTCATGTTTCATCAAGCACCATACTCAAGTTTGCCTTCAAAGTAGACTACCTGGAAAAGGATAGTGAACACAGTAAGCAGCAGACAAGTCAAACATATTTGCATTACTACTGTGAGCTTGTTTGCATGTGTTAACACTCGCAGAGCCACTAGTGTGGCTGTAAACGTCATGGCATACAGTAAGTGTTTAAGATATTTTTGGATACAATATGTTTCTAGTATAAACATGAAAAACATTTGATTATATATCTTATAAGATCCCATCCAGGCATCACAATACAGGGTAAACCTGTTATATTAAAAGTTGTATTGTTCCTTAATCTGGTTACACATTAAATAAGGCAACAGGTGTTGAATGCAACGTCACGTTTAGATGGGTGGTATAAATAAAATCCACTCTTATAGCATATGTAATTTTATATGGTAATATTTATATACAGCATATGATGACTTGTTACATTCTCTGGACAGTCAGCTTAGAAACTGTTTATGGAAAATGACACTGGTAGAATGACAGTAATGTCTGAGTTTGTCTAATCCAGTGTACGAATTATCTGACAAATTGAATACTGTATCACCTTGTTATGACAAATCATATTAAAGTGATACATAGTCATAAAAATGTCCTGCGTACTGATTTGTGATAGCTACCATGGTGTAAACAATCAGGCACAATCTTTGAAGGCTGACAAATCTATAAGATCTTAAGGTCAAGATCACCCAGCCATCTGTCTGATATTATAAACAGCTGAATCTTGCCTTTTCCCCCACTGTCAGTATTCAGTCACTTCTCCTTGCATTAAGTCTCATTCTTTTCAGCTTCCTGGCACTCTTAACAACACGTGTATACACAGACACACGCAGGTTCCCTCATATACACTCAGTCAGGCCAAGAATGTGCCTCCATCAGAAGTCTCATTTGCTCCAACGCCCAGCTTCCCTGAACACACTCCCCCTGTTTCTGTAATAAGTAACATTGACTATATATAGCTACATGATGTAATCTGGACACTGTGTCAAGCAAAATATTGCACTGTCATTTAGTTTTTGTCCACATGTCCTTACTTACTGCTGTTATATTATTAGAGATGAGCTGACTTTCTCATAATTCGCAGTGCCTGTGAGTAAGACTGTGAGTTTATGACAGGGAGTGGAGAAGGTGCTTTTATTCTCTCCAGTGCAGTCGTGGATATTAGAAAGCAAAATGCCCTAAGGAGAACACTTTGGCCCTCTGTGAATCTGACAAGGTGAATAAATCACAGAATAATAATCCAGAACAATAAAAGGGTTATAAACACAAACACACTTTCCATTAGAGATCTTTTGAATGTCCTCCAAATCTAGAAAGACTCCACCAGCAAGACAGCTATCATGTTTTCAACTGTTGTTCTCCCAGAGTGTGCCCCCATGTCTGTCGAGGAAACCCAAAAGGGCTGAGTCAGAGATCCCATCTCTTCCGGAGGCAGGGCTGACAGCGCTCTCCTTTGAAAGGCAACATGGAAAGATCAACGGGCATCTCCATAGGGAGCCACTGGGCCACACTGTGCTGCTTGCTGCCCCATGGCCAAACAACCCTGGGGCCTGTAGTCTGCTGCTGATGTCCGCCTGCACTGTTTACTTTGGGAGGACTTTCAACTCTGTGCACTCACTAGGATTTCTGTATTCTCCCTTTTTGTTTGTCTACATCTGTCTCAGCCATCTTGTGTCTGTCCTTTTCTTTTCAGCTTTTGATCACTTTTTGGATAGAACCGCTATTCTGTTCCAAAGCTACAACTCTGTGACGGACATCACTCATATTCTTCTGCATAAAACCTGTAGTTTTGCCATTTGCACGACTCTCTCTGAACATGGTGGTTGATGTACCCCACAGCTCTGTGAACACCTACCCAGATGTGAGCACAGGGAGGATTTCTGCACTGTTGTGTTTAGAATTCTCCCTTGCAGCACCATGGATACCAGTCAGTCAGTGCCAAGGTTGGACCACCTCATAAATTCAGAAACCCTATAAATATTTGCTCATGTTCTGAGTTCAGCACTAGCATTTACATATCTAAAGGTGGTTTTGTGATTTATCTGCTTGGAAGCCAAGGACTTATTGCCCGGTGGGCTCAGCGTATAAACAGGTTTTTGCATAACACCGAGCAGCAAATTAACGCACGCCAAACATTTCCATTCGCCATTTGCAGCTAAATTTGAACATGAGCAACATGAACACTGAAAAATAAACGCTTCTTTGGCTGAAACAAACAGCAGTGACTGTACCATTCTAATGTCAAAGAGTCAAATCTTTTGCAAAGGTAAAAGAAAGATGCGTTCTAACAGCGTTGATGTCCAAACTGTGGATGTGGCTGTGCAGTGTAGCACATTCCTCCACACTCAATAAACTCAGCTAAATCAGTATGTCAAAGAGCAGACAGATAACACTAAGCTCTGACATAAATCCTAACCAGCTCTAAAATCTTTTCATGTGGCATTACTCACAGGCCATATTCGCTTAAGTACAGTAAACACTGTGACAGGTACTTTGAGCTGCTGGTTCAAGAGGACACAGGAAAGTGGATTGTGCTTTGAGGCTTTGGGGCCCAGTAGAAAAGAAAAACTCTTAAGTAAAAAAGCTGTCAGGAAGAATAAAGGTTTGCTTTAATGAAACATAAGCAGCGTGTGTGGAACCAAACCACCCAGAAAATGTTAAAACTGTTTGATTCTTGATGTCATTTTTCAGTGTTTCCCAGTTCTTTTTTCCCAACAAGCAAAAAAAAAAAATCAGAGAAAATGCGACAATTCCGTTTTGTTTATTTCAGGAGGAATGGGGAGTTAACGTATAACTGTGATTGCCTCATAGAAAAGTATGCCTGAGTAACACGGTTCCTTCCACAGCTTCCACACACTGGTGCTTTCTTTAAAACATAAGCTAACTGTAAATTCATTTGCTTCATCAGAACAATTTATTGGACTGAATTTAAATAAAAAATAATTTCTTATAATGTTCAAAAGGGGGAAAAAAACACAACAAAAAAATGTTGCTAAACTATATAAAATGATACCTCAAAAAATAAATAAGTCAAGAAGAACGGATAACATATCCTTTATGGATGAAGCAGATAGTGAAACAAAAAAATGAAAATAAGAAATAACCCTTTTTATGCCAAGTTTCACATGGAATCCATCTGATTGTCTTCAAGTTTGAATGTCCCAGAGATTGTTCAGTGGCCTAATGATTTTTTAAGCTCCACCCACACCTCGACAGAAGGAAACAGAGACGCACAGTAGTGGGTCACGAATCAAACATACCTCTCACATGTTGATTTTGCTGTGAATTCAGAGTTCTACAACAATGGGGGTGCATTTAAAATAACATTTTGTACTGTAATATAAAGACGTTACTTCTTTTATTTCTCTTTAGCATTGTCCACTTTTAACACCTTTTCATCTTAAACTACCGTTACACTCACTTGAATACATACATGGATTAGTCAAACTCATCAAGGTAACAAGAATTGTTCAGAGGTGACCTCACTCTCCACTTTGGCCTAATCTAGGTATAAACATGATGCAACAGTACATGATTGTATTGTGATTGGTATACAGTCTATAGTGAGTCAGGTAGTGTAGCCAGCAGTCTTGTTTTTGCAGCGTATGTCTTGTAACACAAAGGTCAGCAGGCCCACAGCTATTCTGGGTGTGCTTTGTTCAAACAAGCCATCCAACTGCTTTACATGTAAAGGAGGTTTAGAAGCTCTCCATTGAGAAAAGTACCTAAATGCTACCCAACAGCTGACAGCATTTCAATAGCAATAATTAGTCTGAAGGAGTTGATTCTTTACATTTTTAGTAAATAATGAAAAAAAAAAAATACTAGATGATGTTGTCATTTACACCTGTTTAAACCAAACTAGTTTCAGTCAAATACAGTAAGAGCTTTCAGTGAAAAACGTGCAGATTCGACACTACTATGCTGCAAAAATTGAGAGACAGAGGAAAAAACAGAAAAGAAGACATCAGAATGGTTTAACTTCTACTCTATATCGATATCTTTATTAACAATCATAGTCATGTTTTCAACAATGGAAGATTTATAAATATTTTTTCTAGTGATTCACTTGTGGCATGATTCCAGTTGTGGAAGAACAAAAAGAAAATTTAAACATCCTTAAAGAGTACAGCACTTTATGAAGCACTGGTATCCAATCAACAGCTTTTTCTTCAGAGAGGAAATCCATTTATGTACATGACGGCTTTCTTTTAAGAACCCAGATCTGGTTCTGTGCCATGGATGGGACAGATATTGAGTGCAGGGCAGATCCAGAAACCATCCACAGCAGGTCATCTGATTGATCATTTGGCCTGGAGTTTCCCTTTGTTATTTATTTTAAGGCGACACGATCCCAACACCAATCTGGACATAAATCTCTGATATTCCAGTCTCGGGTCAAGCTTACAGCGTGACTGAAGGTGGTTATATTCTTCTTTTCCCTCTATCCAAATCTTCTTGCATCAACTGAGAGAAGGGTAACAAGCGTTGTCCCTGAATACTTCCATACTAGCATCCACACAGAAGGGGGTCAGGGATTGTTGCCCTCCCAAAAGATTTATTGTACAGTAGAAGTTCAGGCTAAAGCCATGGCGCACCAGGGTTCGCCCCTCACTGATGCTACATCTGATGACTGGGTCAAGCCCACACTGTTGTACAGGCTGTCCTGTCCCGGGTACTTCACCGCTGTGCCAGAGCCTGGACCCTCCCCTGAGCTGGACAGCACAGAAGAACTGACCTGCAAGATCAGAACAAATGTTGGTATAGCAAGAAGTATCCATGTATAAAATAAGCAGCTGCTGCGTTTGCCACATGCATTACACCACACATCCTGAGAACACTCATCTTACTGTAATATAATGGTAACACATTTAGTCATCACCACAAAGCATCAGACAGCCTGCATGTGATCTTTGTACCAGAACACCTGCTGATTCATTACATGTGTAGGTCTAACAACATGGTATTCATCTTTGACAATGCATTCAGGTTTTGCCAAGTCAGATATGTTTCCTATTCTAATTTCTTTGATGCCCTAATAAAAATGGAGCTCAGGTCATTTTAATTGTATTTGTTAAAAAAAACTCTTACCCCTGACACCTGTGCAGAGGGGGAGCCGGTTTTCGAGCAATCTTCGGAATTGGATGAGGAGGTGGATGTGGGGGTCATAGAGACAGAGTTGTTATTTCCTGTTTAAAATGTGTAAGATATGTTGGTGAAATCATGTTATACAAAGCAATATTTCTGTATTTTTACTCACAGGCAGGGCAGCAATATTTGCCAGTAACCTACCAGAGGATCCCTTAGTTTTATTCAATGTTTTCGGTTTTCTTTTTCTTGTCTGGATTCCCTCTTTCTTCATGGCGAGCGGCCGTGGCACCTGCAGATTTGATCGTTTATTTTAAATTATTTTAAATAGTGATGCACTGGTAAATCGAATTACGTATTTGAAAGTAACATGAACTACAACGCTGACTCACCCCGTGTAATTTTGTGTAGAGTCCACATGCGTTACACACTGGTTCACCCTCCGCGTTTCTGCGCCACAAAGTGGTCGTGCTGGTTTGACAATTGGCGCAGGACAGGCCGATTCTCCTGGAAGTTGACTGATGAGATAAACATAACATCAAATGTGTTAATCTAATCAAATTTGAGCATTTCAAAGAAGAAAATATAGCCATGGATCTGTCAAGCCCAGATAATTTGGGAGTTAATGCGACAAGTTAAAAAAAAGTTTTAAATTGAAACCCATACTCCATTAATTAAATTGCAGTTTTACCATCCACATCCTATTTCCTAACAATAATATTATGATCTCTATTTAACTGGCTTTTAAATACTGCGTTTTACAAGATGCTAGTTTTAAGTGAGTTCATACATGATATTTAATTTCCTAGTAAAACTGTGCGTAATGTTGCGCGTAATGGCACCAAGAAAAGACATGCCCCTATTGTGGCCTGTTTAGATTAAATTACCTAACAAAAGCACTGAATAGGTTGAGTAACAGCTTAAGTGCCTGAAAAACTACGTTAAGAAATCGTCTCCAATTGTTATTTTAATCTAATTAAACCAGCGTCTTTAATTCCATTCAAACCAATTTATGAAAATTTTAAATAGACCTTTTCAGACCAAATTTCAAAATTTTCCAGCCTCTCACCAACTTAAATTCTCTTAGTGTTAACTGGTATATCATTATTAAAATTTTTGGTTAATGTGCATAATGATGTCATCAAAGTTGTCAACCCCCCACAGAAAGGTCAAATTGTGGTGTGTGGTGTATATCTCTTTTCATTTCAAATGATGAATCACTAGCTCATTGTATTTCCCCCATACAAGCGTTAAATACTATGAATATCACAGACGATCACCTCCTGTCATTGTTTGAAACAATTAAGCAGGAAATTGAGCGTTTAAGTGGTCCCCTGCTTACCGTCCGTTTCTGTGGTTTAATTAATGGCCGGCTCAGTCCGTTCATTTTGCTGTAAAGGCCGCAGGCGTTGCAGAGAAAGTGACCTGTGCCGTCGCGCCTCCACAGCGGCGTGGAGATGGAGCCACAATTGACGCACTCTCTACTCTCCGCCATCTCGTCCAGAATATCTGAAACTAAAAAGAAAGGATTAAATCAGCATAACGAACATGTTTTATACACGAAATCTGTCTGCTTTTTTCCCAAAGATTTAGCGTTTATCGGACAATATGTCATTTCAAATCAGATCCACAGAATCCATGAAATGGTTATTTTTTAGAATACAGATTTAGTAGTTTTAAACCGAACATACCTTTCATGTATTTATACTGTTCAGGTACTATTGCTTGAATACCCATAGAATTTTATATTAATGGTTATACATATTTTGGCCAGTGCTGGGCCAAAGAGGCACAACTTATTTTGGAGGAATGATACGCACTCTGTGTTACAGTCTAGATAAGTCATTTTTACACAGAGGATCAGGTTCTGGTTTCAGTTTTGGTGTCTTTTCTGAAGGTACCTCATCCGTTGCATGCCTAGTGGACTTTAATTATTTTTCTATTCTAGAGTGAAAATTAAAACTCTTTCATCACTTTGTCCGCGTCTTTGTATTTTTCTTACCTCCGTTTGGCCCTCGAATAAGGGGCGCGCCTCTGCTCTGCAAGGTATGCAACATCGTGTTATCGAAATGTCCCCCGGTCCAAGGCGAGGGCAGCTGGGAGAGCTGTGGTGTAACATACGGAGAGTATGGACTCGGGTAGGTCCCAGTGAGGGGCCGAGAAAGGCCGTACTGGTCTCTGCTGCTCACATTCAGCGTGTTGCTGTAGCCGGTGTCCCTAGGCGTGCCATTATTCATGGGCGGGCTTGGAGGGTAGTGGAACCGGCTGGAGGTGTGCGGGCTCCCGGTGCTGTATGAAGGGCTCTCCGGGGTGGACTGCGACCAGACAGAGTGGCTCGAGACTGCGTGGCTAGGCTGCGCAGAGCCGTTGGCTTGCAGATAAGAAAGACTGGGTATCATCGGACCCACCCGGGAGCTGGGTACATAGACAGGGGAGTTGGTGTTGGAGTGCATATAACCACCAGAGGAGGAATCATATCCAGTCTGGCTTTGGGCTGCGGCGATGGCCAGTGTTTGGTACATGTCGGTTGGGTCCACCAGCAAGCTCGCCTTGTGAGCTCCGCTGGAGAAGACGAGTTTGCTCCCCTGGTCTAAATCCGTAAAAAGTGGGATGTCCTCGGTAGTGGTCAGGGTGTTGTTATGGTGTCCGAAGTGCACGTAGGAGTGTAGTGATCTGCCGTCGGCGCGGCGATGGCCCAGTGCGTCAAGCTCGTTCGGAGGTGTCCTCAGCTCATCCGAGGTGGGACCCTCCCTCCTGCTGTCAGCGGGCAGGTAGGTTTGTTCAGCCGGTGACCCTGGGCTGCTGGATACTTCTCGCTTCACCATGGACCAGCTGTTTTCGCCCAGGTCCATCCAGGAGCAATTTCCATACACCGTAGTGGTTAAAAATGGTCAGGGAGTAATCCACCCTTTAATAACAAAGAATTGGAAAAGTTAGGAAATACGGGGAAGTACCGTTTACTCATGTGGATTTATGGCGAGTGAATTCAAAATGTGTCCCAAAAACATCCGGATAGAAACTCAGAATTATTCTGAAAATATGCCAATGCATCTCTGATGTTTCGCTTGTTTTCATTTTTAAAAGGAGCGCCATTACCACAGTTAAAAGCCACTAAAATATGAATCTGGACATTTCTGTCTCCTGTAACATCTCTAACGCTAATGAAACATTCAATCCATAGTGACTGCCATACGCCCATCAAGAGCTCTTAAGAGGCATGGATACATCCGTGTCAAATCTCTGTCCTCCCACCCACGCACAAGTACACACACACATAAAAGATAGGAAACAAAACGCAATATGTCTTCACAGCAAAAGAGATAACCGTTTGATAAGACCCAAAACAGATAAGAGCCGAGAGGCAGGCTGGGGCGATAAAACAATGCCCTGAAATGATGAGCCTGCTGTTGCTGCGCTCACCCCTACACCGCCAGATGTTTGAACCAGCTGTGCCATGATGGCGAAAAGACAGTAAGGGGGAAAAAGAAGAGATATTAGTCGTTTTTCACCACATACCTGCTAGTTGTGTGCCATAGGTCGCGCGCAAAGTTCCTAACAGTGAGTCGCTTCTCCTGGAAGTAATGGGAAACCTTAGTGCGCGCTGACGAGGTTTATGAGAGGAGGCGCTTCTGCTGGCCGCGGCAGCAGGAGGCGGGCCAATCATGAGGAGTGTGAGCTGCTGGGAACACAATGGGGGTGCCAGCCTATGGACTCCTCCAATCAATCACACAGAGAAACAGAAAGAAAAAGGCAGAGACTTAAAATAATTTGCAAATGCGATCATATTTATGAGAGTTTTGGACACAAATGGAGCTCCACCCCTTCTCAGCTGTTCTACTTTCCGATTTTATCAAATGTATTTCCTGATCAATATTTGTCTCATTGTGAGATAACTCTGTGCTTTTTGACAATTTAATTTAATGTAGTTTTTAATTTTTGGCTTTATAGCTTTGGTTTAAAAATGGTTATTGACATGAACCAACCCTGATGATTGTAAAACAAGTACTTTGAGGTGCTTCGATTTTACGCAACTTTATATTACTTCTACTACATTTTACAGGTAAATATTGTCCTTTTTATTCAAGTACATTTATCTGACAGCTATAGGCAACTACATAAAGGTCATATAAATTCTCACTACTTATTAGTTCCAGCTCAGAACGTAACTAATATGATACTCTATCATTAATACATCATGCAAAATCTGTGATATGCTCCATGTTTGTTGTATGAAAACACTTTTGATCCTTTAGGTACATTTAACGCTCCTGTACTTGCGCCATATTTTAAAAGCAGGACTCCTGGCTAATTGTACTGGTCTATTTTTATGGTATTGCTATTTTTACTTAAGTTAAATATCTTAATACATTTTTCCTTTTATCATTTTATCTGATTATTGCACGTAAAATTGGCTGTTCTAACTAATTTAAACGTCTAAACCAGTTAAGATTATTTTTAGGCCACCATCTTTACAATGCTGGATGGATAAATCAGTACAGAGCGATGGAACAATATTAACCAAATAAAGCCTATTTCTCAATTGGTAAACTAAAAAAAAGTTTTTTTATTATTGCTGTTTCGATGCTGATCTTTATTCAAGGCCTTTATTCGACGTCTTTCTCTCTGTTTATTCCCTGTATTCCGCGCAGTGATCAATAAATCTCCTAATTAGTTTATTTTGGTCAGACGCAGGCTTCAGTGGCTTCAGTCGTGTAGAAGCACAAACTCCCAGCACGTTTCTGCTGTGAACAGCTTTGCTTTGAAGCGCGATGATTCGCTCAGCCCGAATATGCATAGAGAGGAATGATCAAAAGTGGCCAGGTGCCAATTGAATCATTCGCTCGTTTGCAGGTTTTCTCGTGCGTGTTCACAGAAGCTAACAAACAATTCCCGGTTCATCACACTCACAGCCATTGTCTGTTTACATTTTGTCTGGGTGGGAGATAGCTGAGCCCTAAGGACATCACCCTTTACGACTAATATTACTGCTCCTACTATCTGCAGAGAGATCTGAGGACGCCACCATCTACAGCTACTGCTGCCTTTACTAGCAGGTCTCTGCAGTGTGAGGACCGTTTACTATTGGCCTAATACCTGGAAGCTGCAGAGAGAGCTGTATTGCCAATTTATCACCAATATTACCAATATATTGGCTGCTATTGTGTTAGTTCATACAGTGCACATTGAATTTAATACTACTGCAGCAACAAGTAGGCCTGCTACAGCTGCTAGTGCACAATCCTCACTCACAGACTCCAGAATGCATTAGTAATTGTTGTAGGTCTATTTGTCTATTTATTACGAATACAACACACTGTCACCGCTTTTATTACAAACACTGCTCTATTGCAGGCTGGTACATTGCTTCTGAGGGGAAGTGGGGCCAGTTGGAGATTAACCATTGTGTTTTTGTACTGTAGTTTTCTTTTTGGTATACAGGCCACCTAACTGTGCCAGTTTACCTTGTTGTCGGGTCATATATGGTGTAAATACCAGAAGGAAGCCACTGGTCCTTGTACTCGTGTAGGTTCATGAATGCCTTTAGATGTAATTGTGAAGACAATGAATCTAAGTCCGTTTGATAAATTCCCACCAAACGTTAAAACTTCTGCTCATACTTCGGACGCAGCAGTCCCACCCTGCTGTCCTGCAGGCCTCCTGCCTGTTCTCAGCTGTAACACAGGACCAAACCCGACACGTTTGACAGCCACACAAAGCTCATCAGAAGTTGGGAAAAGGCTTCTTTTTTTTAGCAGAGGGAGTAACCGAAGCATGCGCTACTGTTTCCCATCCCATCGTCTCAGTGAGCAGTCAGGGAGGTGCGAGAATACAAAATCCTGTTGGTTTTTATCTTCTCCCCCTCCCCCCCCA